GGGGGGGGGGGGTGGGCAGGGCTGGCCACTCGCGGGCCGGATGAGCAGATGTCGTTCAGACTGTTTGCTGAAGGTACACCGTGGACCGTGTTGGGGCTCCCTCGTTGTCACCCGTGCAGTTCAGAGGAGGCGACTTTCAGGCCCAGCTGCAGTCAGAGCGAGAACCCACGGGGAACACATTTGGTGCCCCGGTGGCTACACTCACACCGCTTTAGGTTTGAAAAAGTGAGATTGGCGATTGTGGCGGTTTTATGCCGTGTCAGTGTGGTTCTGGATTCCACTCGGCCAAGAGAGGAGCTTTGGGAGCTCGAGGAGGGGGCAGAGCAGCGGCCAGACCCCTCCCCCGCCCCAGGTGTGGATGGGCTCCCCTCCCAACCGTCAGCCTGCAGACCACCAGCTCCCAGAGGCAGCGGGTCCAGACTTCCCCACGGCCCCCTTGGCAGTCCCCCAGGCCACTGCTTCAGGAGGCCCGCAAGGGGATGTCAGCTTCCTCAGGCCATACACCGCCCGCCCGCCCCCGCTGCTGCTCTGGCTTCTCCACTGAGTAATGTGCATCGGATAACTAGCCGGGCGAGTCTTTTTTTTTTTTCCGTAACATTCATGGTGGTTCTACTGACTGGCCCTCTGCTCTATCTGTGGATCTATTTATGCCTCTTAGAACCCCATTCTTACTTCAGAGAAAGTCAGCACCTTTAGTGCTTTGTGGCAAGGATATATGCACCTTTTAAAAAAGAAAAGTTTTTATCTTCACAACACATATCCAATGTACTCCTCTACAGAATTTCTATGTAATGTCCTGTATAATTTTCTAGCACAGTACACAACTTATCTGTCTCCTGTAACCAGAAACATGTCCCATGAGGGCAGGGTGTTCTCTTCTCGTGTGTTCCTGGATGCAGCCTCAGTACCTGGACGTGGCAGGAGGTATCTGTCGAGTTGAATAAAATTAAACAATTCGCACAAACCTCACAGTGGTGCATATTTTGCGGTAGAGGTGTCACAAAAATTCCGTCTGACACTGTCTTTTCAAATGACCATGGTGATTTATAAAAACAACACAGTACTTTTAGACAGTTCCAAAGAGTAATGGATTTGCACAAATACTCATGTTCTTCTGTTCAAGTAGTTGCCCTCTCTGCAATCAAACCACACCCCATCCCCCCAAGCCGGTCAGGGGTCAGAGGGTGTGGTTCCCATGGAGGCTAAAGGAAAACTCCACTTGGTCACCTAAAGGAAGTGTGGGTGATGAAAAGCATTGTCATCAACATTATGACGCTCAGACAACAGCACCTGTCAGATGCTGGGTATTTTCTTCACTGCGTCCATGTCTGTGTCACTGCTGTCTTTGTCACATCATTTTCCTGTTGTACAGCAGTGTGTGTATTCACAGCTTGTACCAGGATTAGTTTCAAGTGACAAAAACACAAAATATGAGGTGCTCAACATAACAGAAGGCTCTCACCTCACTGTGGCTGGTGGGACGGCCTCGCCTTCAGGGAAGCAGGCCCCCTCCACACGTCTTCTCTGAGATTCAAGTGTACCTGGGCACCCTGTATTTTATTCACTCAATCTGGCAACTCTCTGCTCGGTCAGTCGGTCCTGGTATCCCCAGGGTTCTGAGTAGCAGGTGTGTGATATCAGTACTTAGAGGCTTTGGCCCACTGGACAGGCCAGCAAGTTCAGAATAAACTAGTTTCTTTGGGAACTGAAGTTCTGAGCTACAAAAAGGATCTGCTTTTTGCAGTTCCTTTCCATGGAAGCTGTGTCTCGTGGCAGAGCCAATTTTAACACATGCTTCCCCACCTGTGCTGTGCAGCACAGCCAGGCTGGCGTCGCCCGTGTGCCTGGAACTGAGGGGTCCTGGGACGTGGGACTTGCGGTACCGAAACTGAGAAAGTGCCAGCTGGGACCCAGGGCACCAATAACAGCATCAATAGGGCCTGTCTCTTACTGAAGCATCAATTTAACCCAAAGATTCTGGGAGTTGGGTTTAGGTAACAATATTTTAAAAACATTGATATCAACAGATTATTCCGAATGCACAATCTGCATACATTTCTAAGATAAGAGACAACCTCCAGGACACTGCCTGCTCTTCGGTCAGGCAGCACTGTTCTGAGGCTCCCAAGGAAACAGCGCTGCTCCTAACCTAAGGCACCCTGACATGTCCCTCTCGGCACAAGTGCAGGGGCTGCCCTGTTGGGCTTCAGCACCCGCCGCGGCATCTGGCAAACGACCCAATCGCTGCGCTGCGCCTTCATCCACCTCCTGCTGCTGCTGTAAATGAATCAAGTGCTCCACTGCCCGGCTGCCCTTGACCTCTCAACCTGTGCTTACCTCACCTGATGCACCCTGGTGCTGTCACAGTGTGGCACACAGGGAAGTTCTCAAATTACTGCCAACTCGCTTCCGTTTCAAACAGATGAGTGAGTAGGTTGACAGCTGCAGCAAGGAAAAGGCTTACACTCAAACACCAAAAATATGGAGACGCCCAGAGTAACGGCGACCCTCCACCCAGGAGAGGACGGAGGAGAATTCTGAGGGTGAGGGGGTGTCCTCGGTAAGAGGCGCCCCCCGCCTGGGAAGCCTGCGCGGGCGCAGGAGCTGCGGACAGCGGTGAACCGGCCCTTAGATCGAAGTCTGAGTGGCCTCGCTGGAGGGTCGCTGCAAATACTGAACATGACACAATGCCCAAGCTCCAAACGCAGTGCTGAATACAAGCCGAGAGACAGAATACCAAACTATATTTACTGTTGACCGTAGTAAAGGACAACAAATAATATACAAACGGGAATAAACACAACAGAGCCAGCAGACATCCCACCCGTGCCCGAAGAGCAAACTACAAAGGAAAAGCAGACATCTTCAGCGAGATGCCAGCCAGACAAGAGATGACGGTGGCCGCGCTGCCCAGGTGACCCGAACAAGCAGTGCCGGGCCATCCGGCGGCAGTGGGTCCACACACAAGGGCAACAGGACAACTCTCGGAGTTTAACCAGGACAGACCCCAAATGCTTCACAGAACTGAAATCACATGTAACACGTAAACTCCATACCAACTTGGGGAGCCGAGCACAGTCCATGGGGAGAAGCCGGAGCCGTCTTTCACTCGTAACCACACTTTGAGCAGCTCTTTTACACAAAAACGTTAATTGCAAAATCACCAATCCTCAATCTTTTTTATATACAGACTATTATTATTCATAAGAAGCAAATACTGGGAGAAATCTGAGGCCCCGGCACTATTACCAGGTGAGACGTGTGGGAATTACTTTTTTCTCTGTTAAGGAAAAGCCAACTTTCACTGCCCTTGAACAGCATCACTGGCCATGGGTGGCGATGGGTCCTGGGCCCCAGGCCCCATGCGGGGCCACGTTACTGAAGAACTTCTTACCTTTTAGGAAACATTCCAGTATTTTCCCTTCAACTTTACTATATTCTGACAAAGCTTACACTTGTAATGCTTAGCATTAAAAAAAACCTGTGCCTGCAAGAAACAATAAGTGAAAGTTTGTCTCCCATCCTGACTGTGTCCCCAAAACTCACCCCACAGAAACACCCCCAGAGCAGTGACGTGAGTTCTCTACATGACTGGAATGGGTAGGGGCCAGTACCTGGGGTAAGAGCCCCACCTAGACGGAAAGTGGGCACTCGGGCCACAGGTTTGGGGGAAATGTCACAGGAAGGAGGAAAAACAAAAATGAAAGTAAAAACAAAAGCAAAACCCCTCGCCATGCATTTTACCCAAACAGAGGTACCGGGGTGATGGGCTGGGGGAAGCCATGGACATCCCCGCGGCCGCACTGCAGTACATCAGAGAGCAAAGTCCTTCTGGGGAATGTCCTCGGTGTCCGAGCCTCCCTGGTGCGGGCATGGTCACAGCTTCACCGTTCAATAGCGAACACAAGCGCAGTGACACGAGGGGACGGTGGCTCTAGAGGCTGCACCCCAGAGGCAGCTGGCCACCCCGGACCCCCCCGTCTGCTGCTGGAACACGTCAATGGTGTCTTCGTCCTCCATCTCCAGCTGCAGGCACAGAGGGGACAGTGAGTATCCTCACGTCACAGGAAGGGGTCCCACGCCACTGAGCACCAGGGTCTTGGAGCTGCCCCCGCCCACGCCAGGGACACCACCCTGAGGTGCCTGAGCCCCGAGCCTGCCCTCGGTGGGCACCCGGGGACAGAGGCTGAGCTGTGGATTTCCAACAAGCCCGCTTACTCCCCAAGCTTCCCCTAACAAAGGAACGGTCAACATTAGGGACTTGACCTGGTAGAAACCCTAAGTTCTGTTACAAACAAACAAGTCTCTATAAAGCTTTACTGGAAAGTACAAACTGGCTAACGTTGCAGACCCAGTATCCAGGCTACAAGTGGGTGGTGACCGCACGTGCCTGGCTCGCCCGGAGCCTGCAGAAGGCAGCGGGCATGGGCAGGCCCAGGCCTCGTCCCTGTCTCTGGACCACCTCTGCCGGGCACCCAACCCTCCCGGTCCCTCTCCCAACACAGAAGAGGCTGACAAAGGACATCTTCCTCATTCGAAAACTGAACCTCAAAATTACAAAGTCAAATGATCTAATAATTAAAGCCATTAAGAAAATGTAGGGACTTCCCTGGAGGTCCAATGGTTAGGACTCCACGCTTCCACTGCAGGGGGCACAGGTTCGATCCCTGCTCGGGGAACTGAGACCCCACCTGCCGCAGAGAACAGCCACAAAAAAAAATTTTTTTTGATAAATAAAGAAAATAAAAGGTAAGGTGGGTATTCCCTGGTGGTCCAGTGGTTAGGACTCTGCATTTCCACTGCCGAGGGCCCAGGTTTGGGGAACTAGGATCCCGCAAGCCACTTGGTGCAGCCAAAAAAAAAAAAAGAAAATGTAAGGTATTCTTTCTATGTGAGAAGCAATCGGTGACTCTCAAATGCAAGTATTCCAAATGGAAGTTATGAAATGCAGATTGGAAGAAGCCCTCAAGTATAGACAGGGTCGGCTTCCCTACCTGTGCTGGGGTGTCTGTTTCATTAATTGGTTGTCCATCAAACCTGAATCGAATCTGTCTCATTGACAAGCCCTGAAAAGAAAAAGCAATCATCATTAAACATTTTCAGCTAACACATTAATTCAAAAAGAATCACACATTTGGGGCTCCCCTGGTGGCGCAGTGGTTGAGAGTCCGCCTGCCGATGCAGGGGACACGGGTTCGTGCCCCGGTCCGGGAAGATCCCACATGCTGCGGAGCAGGTGCGCCTGTAAGCCATGGCCGCTGAGCCTGCGCGTCCGGAGCCTGTGCTCCTCAAAGGGAGAGGCCGCCACAACAGTGAGAGGCCCGCATACCTCCAAAAAAAAAAAAAAAAAAAAAAAAAAAGAATCACACATTTATGTGGAAACACCAGATTTCTGAATATACAGATTTACGACGCAGTTGACTACGAAGCCTCACCAGTGGGGCTGCAACCTAGTTCATGTGATGCACCCAGAACAACCTTTCAGACATTGCCGTTCTAGCACCTTCTAGCTCCTGGGGCTCCGCCCTCATCCATCCCTCTCGCTCCCCTCCAGGCGCTGAGCAGAAATTCGACACCGTTGGCACCATCACTTCCTCCCCTTTAAACAATTCTCAGAAATAGGTCAGGCGACCCTGAGGCATGTGATGAGCAGCCTGCCTGAAGCTGGGAAGCGGCCCTTCTGCCTCCTGAGAGAACAGCTGGACGTGGTCGGGGGCACAGCCAGTTGATCAGGACAGACAGGATTAAAACACCCATCTCTGCTCCCTCCTGAAACCTACTGATGTGACATAAAGAAACAAAAAAAGGCATACAAGGACAAAGAAAACAGGAGAGGGGCCAGGCCAGCAGACAAAGGGCATCACCTCCGGGCTGGAAGCTACAGGGCTGTGGACCCTAGACCCCAAGGTCAGGATGCAGTGCGCTGGGGGGCAGGGGGGCGGACAACAAGAGCCCCGAGAGGGGCAGGGGCCGGGCACAGAGGTGTAAGAGGCAGCGATGCAGCTGATCTGGGATGACTGCTGGAAAGTCCACATCTGACTCCCAAAGCAGGGCCCCCAACCGCACGGTCGGGCACTGTCCCTCCCACGGGCAGAAGGTCCCCGTTCTGAAGAGGTGGACTCAGAGCCCTGGGCTGGGGACACAGGCACAAACGGGGCAGTGACAGGTGACCGGCGGAGGCAGGGAAGTGACGCCCAGTACACCTGGCGCCCCGCCGAGCTGCTCCTTCCGGCCGCTGCGCTCCCAGGGCACAGGCGGGAGCCTGGGGGCCACTCCGGGGAGACTTAAAGACTCACAGATTGCAACACTGGGACCCCCACAGAACACCCACCAGGGCAGGCCGCCCCGCGACAACATGCGGGCCCCGTGCACACCACGCGTGCAGCTTTCCACCAGCTTTTTAGTGCTTCGTGCTTAAATACGAGCCGTCACCCAGGGAGAGAGGACAGTTAAGGAAAGACCAATGTGTGAGGAGTCAAAGCAAAGAATAAAGAAAGGGACGAGGAGGGCACGGGGAGGAAGGATCAGAACAGAGCACGCCGGGACGCACGCGCACACAGATGCATACACACACCTGAAGATCTAAGGGAGACAGAAAACAACAGAAAGTTCCCCTGGGGAAAAAGGAGCCTCAGAAAACGGGAAAGAACAAGAACTCTTTTGTTGTTTGTTTTCATGGTACGCGGGCCTCTCACTGTCGTGGCCTCTCCCGTTGCGGAGCACAGGCTCCAGACGCGCAGGCTCAGCGGCCATGGCTCACGGGCCCAGCCGCTCCGCGGCATGTGGGATCTTCCCGGACCGGGGCACGAACCTGCGTCCCCTGCATTGGCAGGCAGACTCTCAACCACTGCGCCACCAGGGGAGCCCAGAACAAGAACTTTTAAAAATCAGAAATCATGACAGAAACAAGACCGTCCATAAAAAGTGGGAACATGAAGTTGAGAAAACCTCTCAGAACAGAGACCAATAGCAACAAAACCCAGTGCACAATGGGAGGAAATGATCCAACTGAACACACCTGGAGCAGGTAACTGCAAGCCGGATGGGAATTCCAGTGAAGAGGCACACAAATTACCAAAGAACTAACAGAAGGTCTAGTTCCTGAACTAAAACGAGTTTCTAGACCGAAGAGGCCCGGAATGTGCCCAGAAGAGTAAATGGTAACACTGCCTCAAAGCACGCAAACAAGGTCCCAAAAGCTATCAGAGATAAACCAAGCCGCAAACAGAGGAGAGAGAATCACAATGCCATTGAACTTTCCACACCAGCGTTGGAAACTAGACAAAAATGATGCAGTAGCTCCAAGAAAAGAAAATAAACTGCAACCTATGTGCACTCAAACATTCAAGCGTGAAGGTTTATAAAGCAAATCACTTTCCGACGTGCAGTATTTTTCATACCCTTTCTGTGCAAGATACCGGAAGATATGCTCCATCAAAACAGGGGCAGAAGATTAATCCAGAAAATACATGGGAGGAGGCTCTGGGATGATGGCTGAGCAGCAGTCCAGGTGGGGCAGGGAGGGAGGGGCCCTGGGAGGGACGATGGGAAAGCAAAAGGCCCAGGAACATGGCGGACGGTGCAGCACGTTAGGAAATTCAGGGCATAAATTAACAAGGGGTCCCCAGAAAATGACACACACACAACCACCACCAGACCAGGGGAAACAGGACTCAGACAAGAGCCAGAAATCTTCACAGGCCGCTGTGTGGCTCAGGGCTGGCGCTGCCCCAGTCAGGACAGAAGCAGGAGATTCCAGAGCGATGGGCTGGGGTCCAGGGAAGGAGCTGTGTGCGAGCGCGGGCGGTGGATGTGCGGATGGCGGGCCAGAGCTGAAGTCCCACCTTTCACAGGCGAAAAAAATCTCCAAAATCAAAGAACGTGAAGAAACAGAAGCGCAAGCGTATTTACCAAAGAAAAGTGAAAAGAAAAGCTGGAGTTGAAAGTGATCCTCCGAGGAGCAAGCTCGGAAAAGTGGGGAGAAAAAGAGGTAGGCGTGGAGCTTTTTTAGGGTGTTTGTAATAATAACAACAGAAAGCCCAAGGCAAGGATTTATCAAAGCCAAGAATGGAAACTAACAAAGGTCCGGTATTTCCGAAGTATCCTGAGAAAAGCTGCCTCACCTGAAAGGACAGGCTCGGTGGGGGAGAGACCGGAGGAGCATCAGAGAGCACAAGGCGACCGAGGGGCCCAAGGGCACAGTCACGCTCACACGTAACACACACTCCACGCTCCGCGCGGTCAGTCTCTCTGGTCACCGTGGGAGGGCATACGAGCATGGGCTCCTTATTTTGAAATGTAGTAAACAAAGGGTGAGAATCAGGCATCGTCTGGAAACTGAACTGTGTCGAGGGCAGGGGCTCCACAGACGCAAAGGTGGAGGGATGGAATCCCAGGCGAAGCCACCACTCCGATCCCAGCAGCACCACGAGGACATCACCAGACATCCACCCCTGACCGGGGACGACCGGGTGGCGGAAGAGGGAGTGACCGGCCAGCCTGGAGGGGACAGGCGGAGGGGAGCGCCTCCGGGGGAGGCGTGCACACACAGAGACACACACAGAGGCGCGCGCGCTCCGGGACCCCTCCCCACACCTGGCGCTCGCAGTAGGCCTTCATCAGCTTGCTGAGCGGCGTGTGCCTCTTGATCTTGAACTGGACGACGGAGCCGTCCTGCCCGGCCACCTTCAGGTTGATGTGGCCGTTCTCCGTCTTCACTCCCTCCTGCAAAGAGACGTGAATCTCGGCCTCCAGCCCGTCGCCCCACAAACACCACTTTAAAGGCAAGTGTTTGCGCGGCTGCTAGTCTTTTTTGAAGTCATGAAAACCAACCTACTTCTTAAAATTCCCCAGCAATTCAGTCACTCGTGTGATCGCTTGATTTCCACACAGAACTTACTTTTCACTTCTACTTGCTGGGTCAGGAAATGCCCTGCCAATTAGTGTTTCCACAGACTGTCAATTCAAGGGGGAAAACCTGCTCAATAGATCCAGAAAACGATGGAGAGAAAATCCACCTTTGCTCTAAGATCGCTCTCATGAGACTAGGAACCACACGTACGCACAGGTGATTTATACTTACGCATGCGGATGAATGAGACCAACAACAGACGTTTCCGGCCGGGAAAGCGGGGTGCGAGTGGCTTGGGGTCCAGATGGCCCACAGCTTCCCTGCTCGCCACGCAGGGAGGGCCACCCTCAAGTCCATTCTGTGCCACCAGTGCCACCTGGACGGGGTCACCGCCATATTCTATCCTGACATGATCCCGTAGCGGGGGTCTCTGGCCCCTGGAAACTACTGGAAGTTGATGCAAGAAGCTCGTGTTCAGAGCAGAGGCTCAGCCTGAGAGTACTGTTGGGGGAGACAGGAGTTGTTTACTTTTTAACAGAATGATGAAGCTGACCCCTGAGTCAATCTGCAGACGAGTTTGGATGGAGACCAAAGCGGGTCTGTAACGCTGTCCAGCCACATGCTCTCGTCCTCCTCCTGAGGCTCCGGCAGGTCCGGCCGCCGCGGGCTCTCTGCTCCTTCCCTGCTGCTTCCCCTTCCTCTCCCGGGAACCCACTCCCCGCCGTTTCCCTATCGCCTCCCTGCCTCACGGAGGGGGAGAGGAAAGCAGGCCACTCAGTACTCTGGCCCCTGGAGACCCCAGTAGGTGAGCTCGGGCTGGCCCAAGAAGTGGCCCCAGGAGGCAAGACTCCGGCAAGGAGCCTCCTCTGGTGGAGCTGGGGCCCCATGGTCACTCCCCAGAGACTGAGGATGCAGTTGCTTTTCCATTTTTTCAAATAAAGGTTTTATTTTGGAATAATCTTACATTTCCAGAAAAGATGCAATACCGAGGCACAGTGCACTCCTACACCAGCCCCGCCCCTGTTAACATCTCACGTACTGCAGTGCCCATCACACCCAAGAAGCCGACACTGGCACACCGCTGACAACGGAACCGCAAGCTCTTTTGTATTTCACCAGGTTTTCCACTAACACCCTTTTCTGTTCCAGGATCCAATCCGGGATACCACCTTGCATTTACAGATAAGATTTCTTTTCCATTTATTCATCGTGTTAAAATGCACATAAAATTTACCACCTTAACCACCCTCAAGCGTACAGTTCAGTAGCATAAAACGCAACCATTGCCACCAGCCACGCTACAACTGTTTCCATCTTGTAAAACAGAAGCTCTGTCCCCACTGAACACTAACTCCTCACCCTCCAGCCCCCGGCCCCCACTGTTCTTCTGCCCCTATGAATCTGACTCCCCCAGGGACCTCCTGTAAGTGGAATCACACAGTATTTGTCCTTTTGTGACTGGCTTATGTCACTCAGCATAATAATGTCTTCAAGGTTCATCCCTGTTGTAGCATGTGTTTAGGAAATCCTAAAAGGATTTCCTTCCTTTTCAGGCCTGAATCATATGCTGTTGTATGCACAGACCAAGTTTTGCTTATCCATTCATCCATGGACCAACTGACACTTGGGTTCTTCCACAATTTTAGCTATTGTCAGTAATGCTGCTATGAACATGGGTGCACAAATATCTCTTTGAGGCCCTGTTTTCGATCATCTGGGGTCTATATCCAGAAGCAGAGTTGCCGGATCATATGGTAATTCTACTTTTAACTTTTTGAGGAATTCCCGTACCCTCTTCCCCAGCAGCTGCACCATTCTACATTCCCACCACCAATTCCAACTTCTCGTCGCCAACACTTGTTCTCTCTTCTGTTTTTTGAAAGCAGCAATCCTAATGGGTGAGGTGATATCACACTGTAGTTTTGATTTGCATTTGCCTGATAATCAGTGATGTTGAGCATCTTTGCATGGGCTTCTTGGCCGTTTGTATGTCTTCTTTGGAGAAATGTCTATTCAAGTTTTTTTGCTCATTTCTGCATCAGGTTGCTTATTTCTTGTTGTTGAGCTTTAGGAGTTCTCTATATATTCTGGATACTGATCCTTTATCAGACATACGATGTGGAAGGAAAATCAAAATGGAGTCAGTGTTGCTCAGAGAGCCTCTCAAACAGAGCCAGGAGGCCACTGAGGACGGACCTTACGCTCCTCTCAGCCCGGACGGAATCTGACCCTGTGACCACGTCCTGTCCTGATGAAGGCATCCAGGACACCTGCCAGAAACTCAAGATACCTGTGGGACCCAGACCCTAAAACAACTTGTGACAGCCATCCCTTAAGGACAGATATTTCCTTTCTCGCGTCAGAGCTCAGCCTTGTGGCTTTTGCCTTTATTATAAAGCCCCTGATTCTTTCTCTTCCTCGGAAAGCTCCTTCGGTTTTACCCAAATCTCTGTCTCCCAAACTGCAATTCTTAACACCCCAAATAAATTCTTTTCTTATCTGCAGCCTTCTGCGGTTCTTTTTTTGGTTGATAGTGATTTGAAAACATCTTCTCCCCTTCTGTGGGTTGGCTTTTTTACTCCGTTCACAGTGTCTCTTGATGTACAAAATTTTAAAATTTTCATGAATCTAGTTTATTTTTTTCATGTTACCTGTGCCTTTGGTGTCATATCCGAGAAATCATCACCGAGTCCAATGTCGTGGAGCTTCTGTCCTATGTTTTCTCCTAAAAGTTTTATTGTTTTAGGTCTTACGTTTAAGTCCTCGAACCACCTTGACTTAATTTTTGCCTACGGCGTTAAAAAAGGTCCAACTTCATTCTTTTTGCACGTGGATAGAGGATGCATTTGCTTTTTTAATGAAACAATATGGGTGTGTCCAAAGCAAAGAGACGCTGGGGCCAGAACACAAAACAAACAGAAAGAGGGCAGACCAGGCAGAGAAAGACACCAAGAGCAAACGGCCTGGCCCAGACCCCTGGTGAATCCCTAATAAACAAAGGAACCTAGAAGAGAGGAGGGGAGGGGAGCCTAAAGACCAGAAGCACAGTTCACAATGTCAGTCCCCTGCCTGGGCTCTCGAGGGGAGGCAAACTGTCTTTCCCAACTGATCCCCAAGGTTTTCTTTCTGCCAAGATGGCCTGAGAGTGTACCTCCTACCCTCTCCCCTCCAGG